ATGTTCGTACATTTACTTAATATGATCCTTCTATAGTCGATTAAATCTTTTCTTACAAGCAGTCATCAACCTCTATTTTTTTAGATGAAACTTTTGTGTATTTTTAATGTTCAGCTTACATGTTTCATATTTAACTGAGGCATCAGAAACAGTACGGGAACAGTACCTCATTCCAAAGTAGTTATAGGGAATCAGTGGTTAAAGTATGTCCTGTTCTCTTCTGCACCTGCATAACAAATACTCGAACTCGGCTATGTAGCCTTTTATCCTCTATTTATAGCGTTTTGATATACTAAAACATCAAATAATTCTTCGTATCGAAACCTGAGTATTACAGCGATCCCGCGATGAAGCAATTTCTGCTGCACCTGGACAGAACGAACGCTCTTGGTTCGGCCTTTATAATAAAAGATCTGGACGACTGTCATCTGTTCGTGTCGGCGGAAGTTTTGAAGATACTGAATGAAAAAATTGATGCGCTGATGGAATCGCTTTCTCCGGATCTTGCGGAAAAATAGCTTGCATATTAATACTCAGAAAATATTTTTTGCTCAATAAGACGAGCTATCGCAATATCGAATAAATAATTCTAGTTTCGATTTAAGTTAACAAAGTATGCAAATAAACTTTATTGATGTATAAAAAACGTGACATGCACTAATGAGAAATTCTTCTTTACGCTAAAACGTTATGTTTCTAAAGGCAAGCGTAGCTGTTTCTACCATCAGTGAAAAGGACTTTCGAATGAGCATTAGGCTTCTGGCTGCGTTCGATTCGTCGTTGGTATGAAACTATTGATATTTTTCTATATAGGCGATCAGGTCGGCACGGTCTTTGGCCTTCTTCAGCCCAGCGAAAATCATTTTTGTTCCAGGCATGTATTTCTTCGGGTTTTCCAAGTAGATGAACAGCGTTTCACGACTCCACGTGATGCCCTTATTCTTGTTAGCGTCGGAGTAACTGAACCCTGGAGCTTGACCGGTCTTTTTTCCTATGAGGCCGAAAAGATTCGGACCTGTTTTGTGCCCTGATCCTTTTTCAATCGTATGACACTGAGAACATCGCTGAATAAACAGCTTCTTACCGTTTTCGGCATTTCCCGCCGGAATGTCGCCCATTTCTTAGCTTGATACTGAAATAACACGAGTTACAAAGTGATATGGCGGTCAATAATGTATAAATAGTGTCTGCTTACAGCGGAGCAAAGTGGTTTCTGTACCGCGGTTTTCCCATTATCAAGGAAGCAGATAGTAAAAAAACCAAAAAAGTTCTTACGTTTGCCACAAGGGCTCTTGTCAACAACACGTGCTTCACATTCACATATAACTTTCACTCCGCGTTGGTGAAAAATCTTTCCGCCAGATTTGGTCAAATTCGCCCTTTACTTCATTACAACTAATATTGCGCAACAGTGATATTTTACACTGTCAGCCCCATTGTAACCATACGTACAACCAACAAATTTCATCAAAAGGCTGTAACGATCATTTCAGACACATCTGTTTCACAGTCGTTACAAAAGTTCTACCTTATGACGTACTACAACTTAACTAAAGCTCTGTGACCTTCTTCAACGTATTAAATAACTAAAACATCACATTTAAACAACGAACGTAACTTTGCAGTATGTCCATGAGCAGTCTCCATGGAGTTCGGGTCATCACAAAAGTGCAGACAAACAAAACAACGAACAGCCAATACATTTTACTAATTTCAAACAAATTTCCACAGACACTTCTGTACGCCGCTTCGCGTTCTAGCTGTAATGAGTTCTCGGACGCAACGTAGTGTAACGCGGAATGCCACGGCGTCTGAAGATTCTGTGAGGCAGTGGGAAATGTATCTTCGAGTTCTAGAAACAGAAAGATTCAGACTTTACTGACATGCAGGAATACTGCAGATATGATTGACGGCACTCTTACGTGAAACTGTTTGATGTGCGGTCGCCTGCACTTCGACGCAGGCAACGGTTCCACTTTAATGATCTGAATGCTTTGTGCCCTCGCACGATGTCTTGCGCCCATATCGCGATCTAAAACATTAAATGGATGCAAATGAGTTATTAAATTATTGACCTAACAAATTAAAAAACAAACGGTAAATTGCAAAAAAAA